CTGCTGGCGCTGCTGGCGCAGGCCTGGCCGGCCGAGGCCGACCCGAGGCCGGCGCTGTGGCCCATGCCGCTCTCGGTGCGCATGTCCTCGCGGCTGCTGCACGTCTCCCCGGAGAACTTCTTCATCCGCCACGGCCCCAACTCCACGGCGGGACCCTCCTGCTCCCTGCTGCAGGAGGCGTTTCGGCGGTGAGCAGCCCCGAGCCGGGGGCGGAACGGGGGGGACCCCCGCGGGGTGCGGCGCACTGCGCCTCCAAGCCCTGCGGACGGGGCGCGGGGCGCGGGGGTGGAAACCCACGCGTCTGACCCTCCGGGGGCGTGGGAAACGGCGGCTCAGAATAACCCAGTTGGCTGTTCAGGTCTGTCACCTCGTTTGGCCCGGAAGGACAAATGAGTGGATGATGGGGGGGCGGGGGAGGACTGTTGTCGCGGATTGGATAGGGATGAGGGCCACTGGCAGGACTTGCTGGGAGACGCTGGTTTTATTGGGGGGGGGGAAGGGGCAGGGACCCCCCCCAAGTTTTCCCTTACAAGCCAGGCTTTTATTTGCTCTCCAGATGAACAATTTGGTTGGCAGAAGACCTCAAGTTGGAAGCGCTGTGAGGGCCCCCCCCACACACACACGCACTTGCAAACTGTTCCTATAGACAATGTGAGATGAGCTAGGCTCAATCTTTTATAGGGCCTGTTCCCTGGCCTGCGGGGTCTTTTTGTTGCCCTCACAGTCTCCTCATTAACCTCTGAGTTACTCAGTGCCTCCTCCCCTGTTCCTTAGTCCCCCGCAGCTCTACCAGCTCTCAGAGCCCAGAAGGATGCCGGTCACTGGGAGGTTCCACAAGTAGACCACCCACAGGCACACGCTGGCAGGTTGTGTTTGAGGAGCTGATCGGTTGTGCCGCCTGCTGTCCCCGGTGACCTGTGTAGGTGGGACTGTCCTGAAAGATTGGTGCTCCTCTGCCTCCTTTCACTCCTAGGTTCCGTCTCTGCATCTAGGAATTACCACTGCTGCCTACCTTTGCCTTCCAGACACCAAATAGCTAGAGGAAATGCAAAGCCAGATTAAAGAGAAGAAGCCTTCTCTTTATGTTCGGGTGGAAGAGACCTGAGTGGTGTTGGCAGAGCCGGCTCATGCTCTGCTCTGCTCCCTTCTCCCCATACTGCTGGGGTTTCTCCTCGGTACCTCAAACCCTTTCTTAGCTTTTTCCAACCAAGGCTAGTACTTGACCCCTTGAGCCACCGCTTTTTGCTTGTTGCAATATAAAAATCCTTTGAGCCAATGCATCAGTGGTTCACGCCTTTAATCCTAGCTACTCAGGAGGCTGAGATCTGAGGATTGAGATCCAAAGCCAGCCTGGGCAGGACTCTTATCTCCTGTTAACCACCAGAAAACTGGAAGTGGTGCTGTGGCTCAAGAGGTGGAGTGTTCTCCTGGAGCTGAAGAGCTCAGAGACAGCACCCAGGTCCAGAGTTCAAGACCCATAATGGACTCCCCGCCCCCGCCCGCCCCCCCCCTTGCCCCCCCCCCCAAAAAAAAGGAGCTTCTTGGATTTATCTGCCTGGGCTGGTTTTAAACTTCAGTCTTGGGACCTCAGCCTCCTGGATAATCAGGATTACAAGTGTGAACCACCAGCCCTGGGTTTCTCTTTTGCCCAAGTAATGCTCACTCTGTAATGTTTTGGTACTGAACCTGCTAACAGGTAGGGCTGTTATGGGGACACACTGAAATCAAAGGGGTTATCTTGAGGGATGATCATGATTGTAAGTGACTTGAACATTTTTCAAAAAGATCTTACCTAGGACTGGCAGTTTTACAAACATCCTGGCCAGATTGGTTTTGGAACTCATTCTGCTTGGTGATAAAATAACAAAGTATGGATGACATTCCTTAATGGGTACATAAACCAGACTGAATCAGCTAGAAGCTAGCTCAGAAACTAGGTCTGGCATTTCAAGACTGGTGTCCTAGGCGTTTTCTTAATAAGCCCTGGCCTGTGTGGGAAGCACTACTAATTGTACCTGGCATTGTTTGGAAGCAGGTTGTAAAACATTGCTAAGATTCGAAAGCATGAGGTTGAGCTTTGGAGGAACACAGGGGCTAAGATTATCTCAGAGGAAAAACATGATGGGCTTGAAGTGATTTGTGGTGTGGGGGTATTTAGAAAACTCTAGGTTGAGGGAACACACAGAGCCCAGGCCCAGGAAGTTCAGAATTCTTATGCCTCATGTCTTTGTAAAGCGGTCAGTTTACACCATATGAGGCGCTCATATATATATATTACATAAGTGAATAGCTTCAATCTATTACTTCCTAAAAGGCTTGTCAACAGCTAACCCAAATCTCAGAGTAATGCTGGGGAACCAAATACAGGGGTTGGCAAATACCACGCCAGTGCTTTACCACATCTCTTGTTCCTTTACTTTCCTCTACATAAAAACATACAGTTTACCATCTTAACTTTTTTTTAAAGTATATGCTTAAGTGGTCTTAGTTTTTTTTTTTTAAAGCTATCAAAGCTTTCCTGTGAGAAAGGCCCTTAGTACCATCCATTATCTTCTCTCAAAGGTCCACTTCCATATATATCCAAAGTCATGGAATTTTCCTACTCAATCTTCCTGCTCCTCTAGAAAAGCACAAGATGTTTTTCTATCAAAATAGCACATACAATCTTGGGGCTATCAAAAGCCAATAAAATGTTTAAGCAGTTACTTTGAAGCCTATCTGATCTTTCTTCTTTAGCATCTTTTAATTCTTATTTGCTATTCTTTTTGTTGTTGTTGTTCACTCCCCTTCTCCCCTAGACAGGGTCTCACCATGTAATTAGTTCACGCTGGCCTGGATCACTAGGTAGCTAAAACAGGTTTTGGATTCTCAATCCTTTTACCTTAGCCTCCCAAGTGCTGGGATTACAGGAGTGAATCACCATACCTGGCCTGATTGCTGGTCTTTAACAGAGACTTCATTTGAGTCACTTAGGAGCATTGAAACTTCTCAGAAGTCCTAATCTAGAGATCTGTACATCAGAAGAGTGTGTGTGTGTGTGTGTGTGTGTGTGTGTGTGTGTGTGTGTGTGTGTGTGTGTGTGTGTGTGTGTGTGTGTGTGTGTGTGTCCTGAGGCTTGAACTCAGGGCCTAAGACTGTTCCTGAGCTCTTTTACACAAGACTAGTGCTTTAGCACTTGAGTCACAGCTCACTTCTGGCTTTTTGGTGGTTAATTGAACGTAAGAGTCTTATAGGCTTTTCTTACTTGGGCTGGTTTGAACTTCGAACTTCAGATCTCAGCTTCCTGAGTAACTAGGGTGATAGGTGTGAGCCACAGCACCTGGCTTGGATTGTTAACTCCCAAAGCAGTTCTGATGTACAGCTTAGGTGCAAATTCCTAGTTTGACACCATGGGAGGCATGGACTTAAGGTGACACTGTTTAAAATTTGGCCAGAATGCATTGAAACTTGTTGAAAATGACTTCTTCCCACAGATATTACGACTATATTTTTGGTTTCTACAAGTGGCATCATGGCCACTCCAGAGTCCGAGCTGGGTCACAGCTGCAGCAGCTTGTGGTTTCAATTGTCCTGGAGTCGCAGTGTGACAGTTTTCCCAGTGTGTCTTCAGATGAGTCCTGTAAGTACCCACTGTGAATGTAATGCACCGGTCACGACAGACACGCTTAGCATAGTAAGTGCCAAAGGGAAAGGCATAGACCACTCAGATAGAATAGCCACTTTAGGTTGGGAATGTGGCTTCATGGCAGAGTGCTGGCCTAGCATGCATGAAGCCCTGGGTTCAATTCCTCCGTACCACATAAGCAGAAAAAGCCAGAAGTGGTGCTGTGGTTCAAATGGTAGAGTGCTAGCCTTGAGCAAAAAAAAAGCCCAGGCCCTGAGTTCAAGCCCCAATACTGGCAAAAAAAAAAAAAAGAAAGAAAGAAAGAAAGAAAGAGCCACTTGATTACAGGTTTATGTACATTTTTACAGCATAAAATATTTAAATGTTTTATATAGATGTAGACGTTAACATGAACATGGAATAATTATACATGTGGATCCTGGACACAAGGTTTTTGTTGTTTTTGTTTTTGCTGGTCCTGGGGCTTGAACTTGGGGCCTGGGTGCTGTCAGTAAGTTTGTTTTTTGCTTAAGGCTAGTGCTCTACCACTTTGAGCCACAGAGCCATTTCCAGTTTTCTGGTGGTTAATCAGAGATAGGAGTCTCATGGCCTTTCTTGCCCTGACTGGCTTTGAACTGCGATCCTCAGTTCTCAGCCTCCTGTGCCCAGCTTTGTTTTGCTTTGCTTGCTTGCTTGCTTTCTCTCTCTCTCTCTCTCTTCCTTCCTTCCTTTCTTTCTTTTCTTTTCTTTTTTTTTTTTGCATACCTCAGTTTTCACATTTTAGCATCCTAAGTTGCTAAAATAACAGACATGTACCACCACTGCTTGGTTAGATGAAATTTCTTTATACATTCTTTTGAAAATGGATTTATCTTATCAAGGCATTATCCACACATTATCTTGTCAAGGAAGCTTTGCTGTCAGACAATGTGGATGACATTTTGCAAGTTGTAAAAGATGAATTGCATTGAAACTGGAGAGTCATAGCTTATCTTCCAGTCAGCTCACCGCAGCCTCTGCTCTGAGAGGGAAGCATTTTAGGGTTGGAGGGGTCAGTACTGGAGATTGAACTCATGAGCACAGGGCCTCACTCTTGCTAGGTTGGCATTCCACACCTTGAGCCATGTTCCCAGTCCAGGAAGCTTCTTCAAAAAGTGATTGCAAAATCATGTAGTTTGTGATTGTGACATTTTCCTCCATCAGCTGTTTGTATTAGTTGTTGTTGACCATGGAAGTTAATGTATATTAACTTTTTCACTGAAATAACAAGAATCCAAGAAGGCTAAGAATGTGAAGGAAGTTGGAGGAAGTGGCAGGGCTCAGAGCACACTTAGGGCTAAGTTATGAGGTTTGGTGGTAGAGAACTTACTTACACAAGGTCTTATGTTCAGTCCTCAGCACTACAAAAAAAAAAAAGGAGAAAGAAACAAGAAACAAAGACAAAACACTATCAACATTAAGCCAAGTACTGGGCTCACACTTACAATTTTAGCCACTCAGGAGGCTGAGATCTGAGGATTGTGGTCAAAGTCAGCCTAAGCAGGAAAGTCCATGAGACTCTTATCTCCAGTAAACTACTCAGAAAAAGCCACAAGTGGCACTGTGGCTCAAGTGGTAGAGCACTAGTCTTGAGCACAAAGAGGCTCAGGGACAGTGCCCAGGCCCTGAGTTTGCCCCAGGACCAGCAAATAAATAAATAACGAATATAAAAATTGAAATCTATAGCTGTGTATCTGTGATTAGACATCAATCCCCTCATTACTATAAATGAATTAGCATCTTGAGCCTAGCAGCCATTCCTCAGCTATTGAAAAATAATCAGTACAAGCACAGCCAAGCTTTGTTGATAACTTTTTTCCAAGACATCCCAAAGTCATAATGTGACAAACTGGTTTCTAAATGGTGACTGATGGACAGTGAGCTCTAAATAGGTAGTTAAGAATTGTGTATGGATGGAGAGAAGACATGATTTTTCTTTTTTGTCTGAGACAGGGATTCGAACTCTTGATCTGATGCTTTTGCTTATTGGCTGACACTCTACCACCTGAGCCATGCCTCCAACCCCAGAACATAATTATTTTTATACCATGCTCACACTAGAAATTTGTAGTGTGGAAGTTTGCTGTCTCAGTACTGTATTCTGATAGAGAAGCTATCCTGTCAGAAGACTGTCAGCTGAGAGGGTCACGTGATTGGTACATATGACCTCCTTGCAGATTGTCCTGTGACAGTAGTGTGGGTGATGGTATTGGAAAGTGATGATCTAGTCCACAGGATATAGCATTAAATCATTAACCCCTAGTCCTGGAGTGTCTTCACCATGGCA